TTTGATGCAGCGCAAGAAGACTTGTTTGCGTCACTGCAATTACCGGCACCCACGAGATCAGCGAAGCAGAGATCAAAAGGGAAGTCGGTTGTCAGTGATTTGGATCGACTGGACAGGGTTGACCTCGCCAAGCTCGCGTATATTCGATGCGGTGTTGACAACCTACATACCTGTTTCAAGCAAGGCGTCGACGAGGACTTTCTGATCAGTTATCGCCGAGAGTTTATGTCACTCCGACAATACGCCGCCGTAATTGGCGATAGCCGAGATGAGATCAAGATCCAGGGCTTTATCCCCACGACGGACGTCTATGGCGATATTCATTCAATTCGTATTCCTCGTGGAGACACGACAGGCATTTACAAGATTTTGAGTGAGTTTGCAGAGCAGAATGAAAGTTATGCAAACATTCAATATCAGAGAAACGCGCAACAGTCTGCAAATATGCAGGGACGCGATCGTGGACAGCCAGTTTCACAGATGGGCTTCATGAACATCGAACAGCGCATGGCCACGCCTTATCCCAAGTTTGCCGATTGTGGCCAGGACATGTCATCTGACGAAGTCAGAAGGTTGGAAGAACTTTTGTTGGAGTTTGGACAGCGTGGATCCCCATCTCCTCAAGGACCTGTAACAAGGCCCCCGTTGACGCGGAAGCGATCGCAGATGTATATGGAGACTATTGGAGATGCAGACAAACGACCGAGGCTGCAGTGGAGGAGGAAAGAAGACCGAGATCAATCTGGTCGTATTGCAACTTGGGTTGACAACCGGACTCCACCGCCAGGCGTGCCTCAGCCGCCAGCTCCCGTAACAGGGACGCATACCTCGTCGGTATTCCGTATGAATGCACCTCCTGCTCAAGGACAAGTATCAGGCAAAGGAGACTCCCATAAACGGGATGCCAGTGTGCGAGGAGATGTTGCCGGTAAGGGCAAAGGGCAAGGCAGTTCTTCTGCGTCAAGTTCCACTGCTCCCGCAAAAGGGACGCCACGTGGTTCAGTTGCCCGTGCAATATCTCGCAGCCGTGAAGACCTTCCACCTAAGCGTGGCAACATTCCCAAGGACCTTTTGGGTCCTCCACTTCGCACTCCACCATCCACTCCTGCAAAACCGTCAATCCCAAAGCCTCCTTCCAATCCACCGTCAGTACCGGTGAAAGAGGCCCCAGCATCACCACCTCCACCACCTGCACCAAATGATGCACCAACGGCCGGCTTATCCCCGGCTTCAAAACCACGTCCAGCAAAACCTTCACCTCCGAAGGTCCCACCAACAAAGGTGCCTCCTCCAAAGGTTCCTCCACCGAAAGTGCCACCCAATACAGCCAGTGGCATTCCGGTACATACAAGGCCGACAGATTTCAATCTCACGCCGAAGCCGCCGCCGCTTACAGACCTTTACAGTCGGTTGCAACCTTCCGTAAAAGGAAAGGGCAAGGATAAGCAGCAGGTGAGTGTTCGAGGAGGACCTTATGCTCCACAGCAATGGAATGTACAAAACGTGCCACCGCCGCCATTGCCACCCGGAACTTCATCCGCTTCGGCATCATCGTCACATAATGCACCCTTAACTGGGCCGCCGACTTCCAGCATTCGTGGAACTATTGATCGACCATTGGAACCCTTTGATTTTCCTGGAGTACAATGGCAACGCGATGACCCATGGGGCGAGAACTATTGGCCCAATCACATGGAATTGTGGGAGTGGTTGAGGCAGGGATGGCATGACGAGACGGAGCGTTTTGGAATACAATTTCTTTAAGCAGATGTTGAATAGCTACCATAAATGGTATGCCTTGCAGCTTATGAGTGTTGAGATAAAGATCACCTTCTGACGCGCTGTGAGATGATGTTTCACTTCATTGTCTCACTTCCCAATGCATCCATAACAGGATTGCCATAGTCGGAGAGTGAACTTTTAATCAATGCTTAACACTAACCTGGGCCTAGCATGTTTAACCACATGCCGAGTGAGGCGAAAACTGTACATTAGGGTAGCTACGTTCTCCTTGTATAGTGCATGCACGAGCTTGATGAGGGATTTCTAATATGATTCCTTCGTCGCTAGAATTTGATCCTCCCCGAGATTTTCCCTACGGGTAGCTCCTTGTAAAGGGGGGTGTTGAAATTCATCTCATCCCCATGGACCCCGTAGCGTTGACTCTCAAGGTAGAGCAAAAGGTAGCGCTTACCGGACTAGCAGGGTTAGCTAGGTAGTTAGTACTATTAGAGCTGATCCTGTAAAATACAGTTATGACGCATGGCCAACTAGTGCCACAGTATGCCAACCATATCCAAAAATGAAGTTCCATGAAGTTCCCAATGGGCGGTCCCTACTTGTGAATTTGCCCTTGTGCCCAACCACTACGCCAACCACCCACAAACTGCACGTGCGTGAAGCACGGGCGGCACGCTGTAAAAGTAGGTGTGCCAGTGTGACATTTAGTGGGTTGGTGAACGGAGACTGCGCCACTGCGCCCTGGAAGGGGACGGTCATTGCCCTTTTGACGCAACAACTCACCGTCAACATCTGTCAACAACAGAATACTGAAACTGATTGAAAGTGTGACATATTGACCGTATGCTTCCAAGCCTCCGTTTTGAGAAGGTCAATGCAACATGGTCGAACAGGAGCAGCTGCTTGATAGCTAGGTGTGTTGTCCGTGCTCGTCGTAAGATTGAGCGACCCCCGTTCCCGTCCGTGCGACTGACTTGCAGCGTGATTTAGGATCAAAACGGATCAAAGACCTTCAACGACCGAAAGGTGAATGACTCATTCATGAGAACTGGCAAGTCGTGGCACCAATGGACAACACTTCGCACAGACCCCTGGCGAAACTGCTCCTGATTCCTGACAAACTGTTTCGATTCATGCGGCTGATCGTACTGTGCAGCTCCAAAAGCCAAGAAGGTTTTCGCAGCACAGGACTTCGGCTTTGCGACGAAAGGAGATTTGCGGAGCGCCGATCGTCTCGTCGTTTCGAGCGTCTCTACCATCGCATCGCCGAACGGCGGAGTGGCTCTTCCCGGACCCAACGGGCAAAACGCGTGGACTTTTTTGCACGCTGAACACTTTTCTTTCCTCTGAAATGCCGCATGCGACCAAGGTTGGAATCCGCCAAGTGATTCAGACGAAGACCCTGAAGAGGCCAGAGATTCTGGCGTTTGACACAACTTGCGATGTGACGCATATAGTAGAAGGCCAGATTGTAAGGCAAGTGGTTTGGGCACATTTCTGCAAGTTTCTTTTCCTGATATCGTATGATATGTGCGGCCCAAACGATGGGGACCTTCCTGCCTTATTTCAGGTGTATTGATAGCCTTCCTTAGTAATCCTCAGTACACTTTTCACCACAGTCACAGCTTTCGAGGCATGCTTGAGACACTCTTCTGTTGCGCCGGATGTTGTGAGAACACTCATCGGGAAACTGTGTGCTTCTAGCAAGACATTCAGTTTTTGTCGGCAGATGTATAGCTCTGGCTCTGGCATGTATGCGCGGTGCAAAGTGAGAAACCATCTCTAGCAACTATATATGGGGGATGGGGGAGGGAAGCAATCACCTACTTTATGGCTATAGTCACTGCAGTCGCTGTGCTCAGGCCACCTCTCTTTTTCATCTCAGTATTCTGAAATGACATTGTTATTCTTGGTGAGCAGAAACCATCTCAATTGCGGTTGGTCTATCTCACTTGCGATTCTGAGCTTGCAGCGTCACATACAAATGTGGCAGTCCGATGCAGTCTACAGTCTACATGTTATTCGGGTTGTATATCCGTTAATGACCTCGGAATTCCCATCGAGAGGGGTGGCAGTTCAACCTTTCAGAGCAATTCGGAAACGGAATCACTCGGAATTCGGCACGGAAGGGTTGTTGGAAGACAGTTGGATGTGAAGTTTCCCCCCAATGCTCGCGAACGCTTCCTTGGGGCGACGCCCACAGACTGGTGAGACTGTGAGACGTGGGGCGACGCCCCCCCCGCCATGAGGTGCGCCGCCGCCATGAGCCTGACGAAGATGGGAAGTTCTGGGACGGGAGCCTTAGAACCTTCACCCCACCGCGAACGGAAAGACACGCGCAGACGGACAGACACGGGCATTTTGATCATTTTGGAGCAGGAGTAGCTTGGGGATGGTTGGGGGGTGGAACATCGAGACCATTTGTACCATGAGAGGGCTGCGCGAACGAACCTGCGCCACAGGGCGGTGCTTCTTTCATCACGAAAGGTAGCGGTTACGCTACCTGAGTTTTCCTTGTGCTTTAGCAAAAATGAATTATAACCAGAGTGGAGGCCTATCTCACGAAAACACCGCCAGTCTTCAAGAGTGGCCTCAAACCACGCAATTTAAAGTGTTTTTTGTGGCTGTCCGGCAAAAAACCTCGTAAAAAACCATGGTTTTTGAGGTGTTTAGGCTTCAAACATGGTCGAAAACTGTCCAAAAACCAGGGAAGATTGTGTCGGAAAGGCTTTTTTTCGGCTTTTGGAGGCTTCAAAAGAGCAAACAACGACGGTATTTACACGGTTTTGTGCGCCTTCCTGGCACAAAACCATGTAAATATCAATGGTTTTAAGCTATATATGTAGGCTTCAAAGTGGCCACAAACCCGGCTGATTCAAGCACAGAAGTTCGTCTCTCCCATACAACCTCGACTCTTTTTTCACGGTGTATGATTTAAGGTTTGCCTCCTGGACTTCTACCAGGGTTACTTGTGATTGCCTGCTACCTTTCGTTCACCCCCTTCTCTCTCAAGTCCTATATTTTCATTATTTTCGACCTTCGCCCCAAACTCGGCAGTCGAATAGGCCCTGGCTGGATGGTTGAATAGCGCAAGCTCTACCCACCAGGGATGGACGGAGCGTGTGCAAACGTCGAAAGCATGGGCATGTGCAAACCCATGCAAACCCTGGAAGAATTATCGCCGTAGTTTTGCTTTTGCCAATCTAGTTTCGGCTCAAAGTGCAAAACACAAAGCCGGGGAGACAGAGAACAAGACTGCAATGCAGGTGGGAAGGTGATAGAGTCGGATTTCAATAGAATTAAGTATATGGGAGGGATTGATTTTTCGATGGTTTTGGCCGCGCACATGTTTTGAACACAACTCTGCTTTGCCGTCAGGCCCCTGTGGAGCAGCGCTGGAGCCCCTATGCCGACAATGGTGGCACATGCATGGGAGTTGCAGGTGCAGCACCGGATGGGAGGTTGGGCTGGATGGCTTGGAACACTATATTAGACTATTATTAGACCTTTCTTACTTCTTATTTTTTCTTTGTTTCTAATTTAGTACCAATTGCCTTCAACCTACTAGCGAGGGCCTCCAAGCTACTAGCGAGGGCCTCGTGCGCGGAAAGTTCACGACGCTGAGGTGAAGACTTTGTGGTGGTTGCTGCTGACACACGTTTGAGTCAGGGCTACAGCATCCACACGCGCAATTGCAGCAAGGCGGGTGCGCTCCGCACGGTCCGGTCTTTCGTCAGTCTGCTTCAGTCGAGTCTGCGTCGAGTCATCGGACGCAGGTGACGCAGCTCACCGACAAGTGCGTGATTGCTTCTTGTGGCATGAAGTCCGACGCCATTACGCTCCACAAGCACTTGAAGGCACGCATGGCCCGGCTCTTACTGTCTACAGATGTCAGGTAGCTGCAACTCTCTGGGTGGGATGGCCAAGGTCATGTATGAGCACCAGCACAGGCGACAGCCGTCAGTGACTGCAATTGCGCAGATGCTATCGACCACCTTGTATTACAAGCGCTTCTTTCCCTACTACACGTTCAATGTGCTTTGCAGCTTGGTTGCACGATGTTTCATTGCTTTTGGGACAGGGCCGTTGCCGATGTATTGAGAGGAGACAGAGTTGACGATGCAGCGTGCTGAACAACAGTTATGCCAAGCATGCCAATGTCTGCTTTTGTGCAGGTGGTGTTGATGATGAGGGCAAGGGAGCTGTGTATAACTACGATGCAATCGGAAACATGGAGCGAGTTCCCTACACGACCAGCGGCAGTGGTAGTGCTTTGGTAATGAGCGTTTTGGATGCGCAGATCGCCAAGTCAAACCAAACCATCGCGACACCGTCTTTGGACAAGGCGGGTATTGTCGAGCTTTGCAAGGATGTCCTCTCCTCCGTGGGTGAACGAGACATTCACACTGGAGACTATGCTGAAATCTTCCTCATTGACGCGGCTGGCATCTCCAAGACAGAATTCGATCTCAAGTTGGACTGAGGTGTTTGGACGAGGACTGGCATCATGCCATGAAGTCTGTGAAGCCTCTAAGCAAACGATCGTAACCAGTGGTTATTGCACATGCATGCGGCAACAGGATCATGATGGATCATGTTTAACGATGTTCACTGCAAAATTTGGACCATCCAGAATGTAACAGAGGGAGAAACAGAGTGTCAGAGAGACTCTGGAACCTGAACTTGTTCGAACTAAATCTATGAAGGAGGCTTCACATGTCATAGGACAAAGCGCATTTCGATCCGATCATTGGCAGCGCTTTCGCACAGAGCTCCGATGAAAAATCAGAGCTTTCGGGAGTCAACTCTAGCGACCGGTTGGCCCACATCTGCGAGGGAGCATAGAGACGAACGCCTGGTTGTTCCTGGCTGCACATGTGTTGTGAGATCCAAACGCCTGGTTGTTGCGGCGGTTTGGGTGATTGTGTGTGTCAGCCGCTCAGTTAATCGAAGTCTGCTCAGTTTCTTCGCCCGGATTCGAGCTTACACGCAGCCTAGTTTAGAGGCTGATCGGCTGTATTGCGGGCTCAAGTGTTGAGGGCTCGTGCATGAGGCCATGACCAAAGCGCTCGTCATGGCCACTGAGTTCGATGGGAAACAAACTTTTTTGCAATGAAAGTGGGGTGTGCCCTAAAGCGCAGGTGCAGCATGGAGTTGAAAATGAGCTCTTTGACGACACATCTGCTTGTGATTCAGCAGGCGCTGTTTTCACTGAGACTCTGGAGGAGCTGAATGAGGTCGACCGGCTATTGCTGTTGTTCTCAGCGAGTCGCAATCTGGCTGGTGTTCGATGGCTGATTCGCCTGGGGGCCAATCCCGACGCCTGCGATACCAATGGGACGACTTGCCTGCACACCGCCTGCCGAAGTGGATCGGTGACCATCGACGCTTATCCACGGATAGATCACTTATTAAGAGGCCCCCAAATGCCTGGAAAAGTATAACCCCTGTCAATAGGTATTGGACATCCTTTCTATCTATTGGGGGCCCACTGCTTTAGGTCTTTTCATGTCTTCTCCTATGTGAAGGGCAAGTTTGCGCAGACTTTGTTAGTTGCCCATTTGTCCCCTTTATCCGACTATCCTATTCCAGACTTCCAGGTCGCAGAATTACTGGCGCAGAGAAAATTGTCAATTGATGCTTGTGATGCTGCTGGCTGGTCTGCTCTACACGTGGCCCTTTTCATGGGAAGACGCCACATTAGCATCTTGAAATAGAATGCCTCATTGCTGTTTTGAGTAAGTATGTAATTAGCCATACAGTGGCAACGTAACAATAAGGTACGCATACTTCTACTATTCCCTTCTGATGCCCATATCATGTGCATACGTGGGTACGTATTGATGCAGTAAAACACACGGGCTTGGCAAAGGTGAAATACGCGTTAAGAGTTGCACAAACCTGCACCACATGTATACTTGGAACGCAATGCTCGGTAAATAGTCGGAGGCCATCGCTACTAGGTTGGAGGCCATTGCTATTAGGTTCCTTTTGCTATTAGGTTACAGGCCATCGCAGTAGGTTGGTGGCCATCACTATTAGGTTGGAGGCCATCGCTAGTAGGTTGGAGGCCATCGCTAGTAGGTTGGAGGCCATTGCTATTAGGTTGGAGGCCATCGCTAGTAGGTTGGAGGCCATCGCTAGTAGGTTGGAGGCCATTGCTATTAGGTTGGAGGCCATCGCTAGTAGGTTGGAGGCCATGGCTATTGGGTTGGAGGCCATCCGTTAGGTTGGAGGCCATCGCTATTAGGTTGGAGGCCATCGCTAGAAGGGTGGAAGCCATCGGTATTTGGTTAGAGGCCAGCGCTATTAGGTTGGAGGCCATCGCTATTAGGTTGGAGGCCATCACTAGATATCACTAGTAGGTTGGAGGCCATTGGTATTAGGTTAGAGGCCATTGCTATTTGGTTGGAGGCCATGGCTAGTAGGTTGGAGGCCATCCGTTAGGTTGGGGGCCATGGCTATTAGGTTGGAGGCCATCACTGATAGGTTGGAGGCCATCGCTAGTAGGTTGGAGGCCATCGCTAGTAGGTTGGAGGCCATCGCCAGTAGGTTGGAGGCCATCGCTAGTAGGTTGGAGGCCATCGCTATTAGGTTGCAGGCCATTGGTATTGGGTTGGAGGCCATCCGCTAGGTTGGAGGCCATCCGTTAGGTTGGAGGCCATCGGTATTAGGTTTGAGGCCATCGCTATTAGGTTGGAGGTCATCCGTTAGGTTGGAGGCCATCGCTAGTAGGTTGGAGGCTACTGGTATTAGGTTAGAGGCCATCGCTATTTGGTTGGAGGCCATCGCTGTTAGGTTGG